ATCTATCTATCATAGACCTCCACTCATCATGCCATCCAATAAGCTACTCTAAACATAAATCCAAATAACGCGTATACAGCTAATCAATACTCAAATCGCACCTACATCAAACCTACAAATAACCAATAATCAAATACCTACTAAAATACCACCATCCTAAATACCACTTACATACCTATGATCATAATCTATAGAAAAAAATCTATTCCAAAAAATCTAAATCCCATAGATACTAAAAAACAAATCACAAGAGAGCAAAAAAAAAACATAATATATATGACTTAATGATCTGGATCCAACCAAGCTATATTAACCAAAAATCAATACCCTCCAACGAGACCAATCAAACACATACGACAGGACCAATACAAAGAGCAAATCGTCAATAAAACCAAATTCTTACCAATTAGAACTTAACATCTCCCGTTTCTCACCCTCAATATTACATTAGGATAAAAACAATCTTCTAAGTGCAACCTCTATTCAACACACTCTTCACACAACTCCTAAATGCATAACTTTATACAATCTCCTATATATTCTAATCTGACAACCGCTTGCCTACCAATTGTACCCAAACACACCATCACGAAATCCCACAGGATTTATTTTGACCAAAAAAATAAAAATGTACACCACCAATAGATTAAACATTCTTATACAAGCCACCGAGAGCCAAGAATGGAGAGGATCATCATATATCTCAGCGACAATACAAAATCTACCATTCTACTGGTACCCCTTTCCACCACAATATTCCGAGACACAAGACAATTTAGAAAAACGGACCCACACACGAGAGATCACTTTATAATAATAAAACCCATCAATTAGGCGTGAATTCCCAACTCAAAAACCAATAATCAATTCACACCAATTCAAAGACACACCATAATCCTCGAAACAACTATATCCGTACATCTTAATTCAATACAAATCTACCACCTAGATTTACAATGTAGTGGAAGAGCACAAACTGTTCAACAAATAATAGCTATATTAATATACCGATTATGAGACCCAGTCTAAACCAATGCTTGTCCAAAAGCTAAAATCGACACACTCCTAGCCACAACAAAGATAACAGTCAGAACTCGTTGACCACACACACCCCACCAACCATACGATTGCACTTCCGTTCACCCACACTTCAGCTCCATGGCCTCATCCAGAGCCCCGCATTCCCCACACCACAAGTGCTAAGATCTTTCTATCCACCTTAAAGAAAAGGAAAACAAGTCAGGCAATGAACTGTAAAGATGCATTAATCAAACTTTATGATTACAAGCGAACTTTTGTTGATGTCTTTTAAGCCCATCTTCAACATATCAGGCGCTTTTCAGTGAAAAGTATTGAAAAACCCACCCTATTACCTTCCTAGACATCCTAACCCACAAGACAGACAAAACAATCGATAGACAATAATAAGAATGAATAGGGAGACAATACGCAGCACAGCAGACAACTAAAAGGAAGAGAACAACATAAATAATACCACAAAAATAACAACTACCAAACAAATCAAATGCACCTAAACAATTGACCTGTCAAACAAAAGAATAAATAGCAAAACCTAAATAACTTCCATCAACAAACTTTACAATCGGTAACTATATCAACGATGATCAGTAGAGAAGAAGATTCTACAAAGGCAAATGCTATCCCACAAATTGTGACATAGAAATTTCAAAATAATTACATTATAACAAGTTACTTTGAAAAATCCATCAACATCAACAAATAATAGCCAAAACAATTAAGATACATTTCCTAATTTCCTACATAATACAAGGTGATAATATGTCAGTGGAGTGTTTACAGGTTGCTGCATGCCCACAAGTGGCCAAAAATACATTAAGTTTTGTTTACAGTTTACTTGAAATCATCAACATCAATTTGGCCAACAGGATTTATTGTTTTTTGTTATTTCCTACACTTGCCATAATGACTTTCCAACCTCCAGACACACTTATGTGGATGGAAAGAGCTCAAATATTTTTACAAATATCAACCAAACACTTAATGGTTGTGCAGAATGACACCAGCTTCCTGTAAACCCCACACAACTTGCAACACTTGTTCTCTTGAAGTAGTTTCCTGTAACGCTGCTGATAAATTGCTGCAGGAACACACTTGTGGTGCAGTGATTGTGACCGTCTAACAGGCCTCATCCAATATATTTTTCATTTGCTGGTGTCAGTGCAGGAAAGCTTACAGTGGTGGCATGCACGCAGAACGAGAGCCATTTCAAACTGCTGACACAAGCACCTCAGCAGCAAGGCAGTCATTACAAACCTGGCAAGGCCACGACAGCGGGCCAGCGCAACAGAGCAGTGAAGGAGCTGGTGCCTAATGCTCAGACTTTTGCAACCCTACTGGGCAGAAGCCCTCCTTTTTCTTGACTGGGCCATCAGCTCAGTGCTGATCCTTGACTTCTATATCGCTTGAGGCCTCCCTACCCAATTTAGGGGCCTTCCATCTTCATCACAGCTGGAATGGGACTCCCAATCCTCCTGCAATTTAACTACCGGCCCCCCTCAAGGCCTTTTCCTACTGAGACTGCATTACATAGCATACTCCTTTGCACTGAAGGCATCTGGTAAGGGCAATGCCTGCCTTTGGTGGAAAGCAGGATGATTTGTAACTGTAGACAGATACTGCAGGATGCATCTGAACCCAGACGCCTGTTCCAGCTCAGTAAATGAGACTACGAATACAGCTCAGTGCAAAGGGGAAGAAAGGGGAGACAGTCACATTAAAAGGAAAAAAGGGCGAAAGAATGTTAAAGCAGTAGAGGGACAGATGGATAAACAAAGTAAAGAAGGTTAATGAAAAGAAGAGCAGAAAGTTTGGGGCTGCCACAAGAAAGAGTGCAAATACTTTTGAAATTAAAAAGACACTGTTTTTCTGTGAAAATTGCAACACAAAAAGTTAATTTGTAATGTTAGAAGTGAAACATGCACAATGGATCTGATTTATCATTTTGATGTTGGTTCAGGCAGAGAGTCAGGGCAGGAAACACGTTTAATCTGAACGCACTGTTCATTGGAAAAATCTGACTTGAAGAGAATTTCTAAACAAGGTTGTTGAGTTAAATTTTCGGTCAGCTTAACAACAGGTCTGTGACACGGTTTCATAACAAGCAGTATCCTAACAGATGATGTGATGAAGCCTGTACATTTTCACAGCTGCAGTTAAGAATGTTGTAATACAATGTTTATCCAATGACGAGTGA